TCCCCCCCCCCCCCCCCGCCAAGCCCTCCCCGGCGACCCCCTTTCCATCGAAGATTTCCGCTCGCTGGCAACATCGCATAGAGTCCGCAAATCTCGAGCGAATCGAGCCTTGACACCCCGCACTCGAAAGCTCCCCAGGCGACGGAGCGCCACGACATGACGGCACTCGATGAAAAGATATTAAAGGAATGGGAGCTCGCCGACTCGTAGTGAGAGCCTCAAACGTGATGCAGAATAATAAACGGGCGTTTGGGCGTTCGGGCGCGCACGTATTCGAAGGGAGACATAAAGAAAAAAAGACCTTTGGGACACTGCCATTATGTCGAATCGCTCGAGTAGACGCGAATTCACGCATTAATCCTCCTCTCTTTCTCTCTGCACAGCCGTTGCATAATCCAGTGCCATGGACGAGTCTAGACTTTTTTTTTTACTCCTGCGTTATTGTTATTTGCCGTTATGCATTATTGTCAAGAGACAGGGAGAGGCTGCATTGCATAAAGCGAATGTATCTACGACGATGCATCATTTCGAGATGTCGATAAAGTACTTCCAACATATCAACTATGACCTGGAAAAGGAAAGATTAATCTCGCCGTTAATTTTACAGCCCGTAGCTCGGATGCTTGTAAGTTTTTTCACTTTTAACTATTTAGCTCTCGATCCGTTCTCGATTCGCTCTCGATTCGCTCTCGATTCGCTCTCGATTCGCTCTCCATCCACTCTCCATCCGCTCTCGATCCGCTCTCGATCCGTAACAATGTCGCTCGTTAATCATCTATTTTGGTATGTTTGGGAAAAGTATTGTTACGACCCCGTTTAAAAAGTCCTCGGCACGTGAACGATTATCCTTTCGTACTCATTATGCATTACGCGGCTAAACAGGACAATTATACGGACAGACAGTATGGAAAGACTTGCAATTAACGAACGTAACTTTCTTTTATCGAGTAAAAACCTCGCGCCTCCATTACGGTATTCACGGCTGTTCAATTATTTGAAGTGGTTAATCCCGACAGAGAAACATAGGCTATTAATTTTTTGTAATTACGAGTTCGAGAAAAGTTTTTTAAATACTTGTAAATATTTTATAACACGCAGGGATGTGCTGTTATTGTGGTAGTAAGAATACATACGATGTGAAAATCATATTTTAAATATAATATTAAGGAGAGAAAATAAAGAGAAAAAAAAAAAAGAAAAGAAAAAATAAATAAATAAAAGATAAGCTTTGTCATGAGCTTAAAGGCGAGTTACTTTGGTATTGAAATTTATTGGAAGTTGCAGCTAGTTGTTTGATCGGACAAACATTCCTCAAAATTATCCGTAACGGTTTACGGATATAGGGAATTAAAAAAGATTCGCGCAACCGTCAACGTTATTCCAATGGGATTGTGTATGGGTGGATCTGGCGGATCTCATTGATAAAAGTTCTTTTATTCTTTACAGAAATACGTAATCGATCCTCGGAGGCATTGATAAACAGCAATTTAGGAGATCTAGAATTTACTAGAATTTTTATACATTGTAAATGATGACTCGATTAATTTTAACTTGCCTATTTATTCATTGTTTTTAATATTTAATATTTTTATAGTAAAATACTGATAAATTGTGTAAAAAAAAAACAAAACAAAACAAAACAAAACAAAAAACAAAAAAAAAAAAACAAAAAAAAAAACAAAAAAAGAAATAAATAATAATAAAATAATATAACAGGCAATGAGAAAATATTTGATTGCGTCGTATATCCATGAAGTTTGATGAGCATACTTGAAAAATTGATGAAATCTCTAATTAATTATATGTGATAATTCTTTAATAAATATATTTTTTAGACTGTTTTGATCGACTATAATCTTTCTATAATTTCCCCCTTAATTTTTAATTATATCTCGATGAATAGCATGTTTGCATTTTACATAATAATAGGCGCATCAATTCAACCATTATATTCATTATTATTATTATTATTATTATTGATTATTATTGATTATTATTATTATTATTATTATTATTATTATTATTATTATTATTATTAAATTCGACAAATTAATTAAATAATTGAGAGGGCGAAAGGAGTCAATGCAGCGATCGTTAAATCCTCACGGAGAGTACAACCATTTGTCATTGTGATGAATCACAGGGGACAGTGGTGATATAAACGGTGATATACGAAATTTCAAAACTCATCACGAACTCGAGTCTGTCGTAGGTAGAAAATAACTAATACATAACCCCTTAATTGAGCAGCAACTTGTTTCACTTGTCTCTACGAAGTTTAACTATCGAGCTCGATCGATAAAGAGATACGTCATAGGGAACGCCTTGGTCACTTAGAGCTGAAGTTACGTTAATTAACGATATTGGTGGATCGCCAAGCTCTTAATTTATGCGATCGTGTAATTCCAAATTTATCATTAACTAGCTGTATTCGCATATTGTCGACGATAAGAAAATCGAAATATCTTTGATTACCGAAGCTCGCAATATCAATCACACAATAATAATAAACTCGGAGATAACAAGTATTGGGAGAATTTTCAACGAGCTGAGCAATAATTTAATTCTGCACAGTATTTATTCGATTGTACGAGGCGTTTGTACGTTAACGTATGCACCCGATCAGAATATAATCGGTAAGAGTTTAAAAAACGGTGAGTTAGCTCTGTTATTTCGTAAGAAGATGGTAAAGTATCGATATGGAGGAACGATGCTTAACTTACCTTTACACGAAATTTTATGCGTCTTGTAAAAACTTTTAAAAGCAACGGTCGTCGATCATATTTCCACAGCTACGACTATGATAGAAGTAATATTGTAAATTAACTTAATAACTTAAGCAATGTGGCAACTTTTATTTCAATACAAGTAAAAGGGGCTATAAAATAAACTAAAAGTACAAAAATATTATAAGACATAATTTAACAATTCGTATTGCGATATTTAATTGAATATTATAATCATAGTGAAAAGTTAAAACTAAATGTATACATGAAAATGTATGCAGTAAAAAAAAATAAAAAAAAATTAAAAAAAAAAAATATATCTATATATATATATATATATATATACACGCGTATAATACACGAAATACGCGTATTTATATAATTTTAACGCAAATCACAAGGTATATGAGCAAATTGGATGTAAGCATATATTGATTAAAATTATTATCATTATTGTAAATAATATTTCCAATGATTTGATGTAGTTTTATACGTAACTAAGTAATTTTTAGCTCATAATACGTTCAAACAACGCTACGATGATAACATTTATATTTTTTAAAAAAATATCAACTACTTTGATACGATTGAACAGCAACTGTTAGGCGACAAATAAATTCTTGTCAAATTGCATATGCACGTTCTCTCAGTGTATAAAAATTAACAAATGTCATTTAAGGAATTTCATTCACAATTTCAACATTATAATATTAAAGTTGTAACATATAATTATGTAAATTAAACGAATGTAATTTTATATGACGTTTTGTATATTTTAGATTTATACCGTTAATAATACAAAAAGTAAAAACAATGGACTTTTTTCAACCTTTTAGAATGGTGATTTTTGTTATTGCGATTCTACGTGTAGCACAATGTATTGCGAATGAAAATATTAAAACTACAATTCTCATAGAGCTTTCGATTATAATTTAAAAAACAAAACAAAACAAAACAAAACAATACAAAGCAAAGCAAAACAAAGCAAAACAAAAGAAAAACGAAAACAAACAAAAATAATAATTAATAACAAAAAACAAAAAAACCAAAAAAAAAAAAAAAAAAAAAACAGAATGAAATAAATAAATAAATCACGTTAACATTTATTTATTTATCCAATTTGATGATAATCATCGAGCATACAGTCGAGCCACTATCTGCTCAATAGTGTATTTTTATTAATACGATAGATTAGAAAACAGTGTGTAAGTTAGTATACGACGATCTATAGCGATGACAAAGCAGATAATTAAATTCATCATCAAAAAGTATTAAATTTACGTTGAATTTTTTTTTTCTTCTT